TTTGCTGGGTCGCCTGCACACACACACACACACACACACACACACACATACACAGACACAGACACACACACACACATACACAGCGTGCTAGAGAGTACGACATTCTAGTTCATATTTATTGTTGGTCCTGGTCAGATTTGATTTATTAAATGATTTTAGATTATGTGTAAGTGTGTCTTACTATTGTCTCTTCAAATTCATATGATTAATGAAACTGAAGATAATCAAAGTGAATCTGTATTAATGAACTACTCAGCAGACTGCAGACATTCATGTTTTTATTCTCAAGAAACGTTCAGGAATCATTACAGAACAGCAGCACACTGATGATGATGATGGTGGTGGTGGTGAAGAACATTCACGTTTCAGGGAACAACTCAAAAATCAGGATTTCCATAGAAATCACATGAATGAAATAAAGACTAATTTGGAGCTGTTTAGTGAAACTTGAATGTAACCTGAGCAGGTACCAGAGTTCACTGTGAGGGAGCCGACCTGATCAATACTGACACCGATTGATTAATGGAACACATTTCTGTCATTAGCACGAACACAAGAGGAAGGTTTGATTTTGGAATTTAGGGTAAAATAAAACTTTGGGTGGTTTTATATCTGAGGACGTTACAGCAGACTTCCAGTGTAGTTGCTGATTGCAAAGTCTTCGCGCCACCCTCCCCTTCCTACGGTGAACGCAGCAGCACGTTCTCTCCCCCAACCCGTCTGTGGCGCTGTGGGTATTCTCAGGTAGGCTCAGTACTGCCAATGAGAATCAATCTTTAGCTAGTTTCAGCTTTAATGAAATCGTTTCTGTGACGCCCAAACCAACGAAAAGAGAGTGACGGAAAACTCCAACAGCTGATTGTGTTTCTACAAACAGCAGCAGGTTGCAGTTTAGTTTACTATTTAATATATGAAGCTTAATCTCTTGAATGTGGACAGATTTCTGCTGATAGTCTCATGTTGTTGTTGCTGACTGACAGACACTGGCAGCAAGAACCAGGAAGAGAAAAGAAAAATCAAATGTTATAGAAACATATTCAACATGTTTGTTAAGAAGAAAACTCCACAAGAAATCAAATCTGCCATTTTATTCTAAATGTCTCATATTCAGGCCAGTACTGCATTTAGATTCAAGCATCATGCGAACGTCTGACTACAGGCTCCTCAGAATGTGATTGGACAGTGTGCGGTGTAGGCGGAGCTATGAGCACAGCGGGCAGGTACACGGACACACAAAGAACAACAGCGTCATATGAGCACAGAACAAATCTGTACAAGGTCATTAAAGGTCATTAAAGGTCACTAAAGGTCTGAAGAAACACTGCTGGAAGATAAATAAAAACAGACTGTAACAACCAGTTACAGTTTTCATCAGTTTTTCATCGGGCCTGTCACAATACTGATCCACTTATTGTTCCATATACATACAATGTAAAGCTGTCACTGTATGGACTCACTGTTTCATGATGTTTTGTTAATGTTTATTTAAGTGCAGTATATCTATTTTATGTACTGTGTGGTTTTAATTATGTTTTATCTACTAAAGACATTTTTGTATTCAACGCTAACTCAAGCTTTTAATAACTTTTCATTACACAGGCCTTTGGATTGCAGAGACCAAATATGAAGTTAATCTGATGAATTCTAGGAGGAGATCATTAAAGTGCAACACCTGAAAATGACAATTACCATAATTGTGGCGAGGGCTGCTCTTTAGGGGGCGAGCCCCACCTGTTAATGTTCGCCACCAGTGTGTGTCTCAGCTTCGGTGCTTGTTTAGGCTGCCAGAAATACGTTTCGTCTGTCGGAAGAAAAATTGGGTTGGTCGGGCCTTGAATTTTCTTAAAAATTAGAAGTGAACTGTTGTACTTGTCTTATAGTTAAATCAGTGGCAATCTGTAATATCTGTGATCCAACAGCGGCAGTTATTGTGACAGGACTAGTTACAATAATGAATCAACAGCAGGAGACAAGGAATGTGAGCTCCACCTCAAACAAAACACCAACAATGAAATAAATTCACTGTTTCACAACGAATCTTTTCCTACGGTCATAAACACTGAACCTTCACACTGTGGTCAGATCTTGTTGTTCAACTCAAGTTCTAAAGCTTGTAACGTGGTCCAATGATTCAAATGCAGACTTCTACTCTACTTTCAAACATCCACTCAGATTAAAGTGCGCAAAATGTTCACAAAACAAAAATAAAGTCCGGTAACGTTGCTCCATAACACACGACCAGCTCAGTGTCCGAAACGTTCAGTGCGAAGGCATTCATACAGGGATGGGGGTGTAAACACGACGACCAGCTCCAGAAAGCTCACTGACATCTGACCTCTGACCGGTCACAGAGAAAATCATAGTCAGAAAGTAAAGCACCGTTCGCTCGTTGACCCGAGGAGGACGTAATCAGAGCGGAGAGGAATCAAACCTGTGACCTTTCAGTCCGTCTCTCTGACCTCGGATCTGTTTGTGGTCCTGTAACATCACCGCAGTAATGCAGGAAGGCTGCAACCTACTATTAGTACTGTTTTACTTAATTAGTCAAAAATGATGACAAATACCCAAATAATAATAATAATAATAATAATAATAATAATAATAAAGAACACTGTACCAGTTTCTAGTTGAGCCTCCCCGTAAGCCCCGCCCCCTCTGCTCTGCGCTCCAATAACATAAATCAGAGATAAGAGCTGATCAGTTTTCTCGTTTGGTTCCATTGATTAAGTCACCATGATACCCTGATGAAGACACATCGGTTTACCAACGAGCTCATAATTATAATTATAATCACAGTGTCTCGGATTTCTTTTAGTCGGCCAACCAATGACCATGGACTTCATCATCATCGTCACTGTTTTTCATTTGCACTCGACTACTGAAGAGTCTTCCGCTGCAGTATGAGCGACACTCTGGTTCTTGGCGCAGTGCAGCGCAGAGAAGCAGATTACTGTTTGGACGCCTCACCTTGTTGGGCATTTGTCATTATTTCTGATATCTGAATGTCAGAATGAATCAATAAAAGGAACAGCAGTTGGCTCCAGCCTCAGCGTGAAGTGAAGCAGCAGGACGTTTGTGACGAACTGAAGGCACAGCTGACTGAACTCTGACTGCTGCTCGTCCTTTAAAAACACGTCAAACTGCAGAAAGAAAAGTCAAATAAATAATAGAAGGGTAAAAGGAAGAGAGGGACGTCCTGTTCGGTTTATTCTAACTCGTTGGTGTTTGTTCATGTCGCTCCAGGACACTTCCTGTCCGTTAAGACAATTTGGTTTGGAACAGATGGACCCGTTTACAGAGAGAACGTCGTCACACTTCTCTCACAGAAACTTCAAACTAAAACCACAATCCTGTTGGTTGTCTCGTCCTCGCAGCGTCGGAGTGATGGACGCTGCAGGTTTGTACTCTCACTGTTGGAAGGTCTGTCTCAGATTGTCCCTCCAGCTCAGACGGACAGCGGTGAGATTTGGCAGCTGGTAGATTTTGGTTCTGAGAGGAGGCGGGAGGACTTTAGGTCACCAGTAGAAAGAGCGGGACAGGAAGTTGGTGGCAGCACCCAGCCAGCTGGTCCCCTCCTGGCCGGATCCCACCCGGGTCACCGCCTTGTCGGGCTCCTGAGATGGACTCTCATCTTCCGGCAGGTAGTCCGGCAGATCCACGTTGTGCTCCACATCAGCTGAACCGTCCTCCGCCAACGGGATCAAAACCTGGAGAGGACAACTTTTGTTGGCGTTGCAAATAATAATAATAATGTTAAAGGGTCATTTGGGGGGTTTTCCCATGTTTTTGTGTCAAAGTGACTGATGGTGACAAGTTTTGAAAGCCTGCAGCCTTTAAACGATTCTTGTGGGCGATTGTGCACCGCCAAAGTACGTCCAATAAAAGTGTTTGTTTATGCCACAGAGCCGCTCAGATTGTTGTAAGTTTCTGTTGATCTACTGTGTGTCCAACCAAGACTCGTTCGAGGTAAAGTGCTCCAAATGGTAGTCCCTATTACTCACTTTGACACAAACACAGGGGAAAATAAGGATGAAAAATATGAAAGTTTCCCTTTAAATTCATATGTAAAAAGGTAATTTCAGAACTATTGCTTATGGAGTCCCACAGGGTAGCGCTTCGGGTCCTCCTTAGATTTCATTGATTAATAATGATCTGACTGTCTTTTACTAGTGTCTCATGTCCTCAGTATGTGTCTGTCTGATACCATTATATTGCCAATATGTTTTATCATCATCCTATGTATATTAATCCTGATTCAACCACGTAAAAGTCTTTGTACCTTTGTTTTGCTGTATAAATAAAGTTTAATATTATTATTATTACTGTAGGTTTGAAGCTGTCCTTCTCAAAGGAAACTCAATCAGTTCCCAGTTAAAGTTGGAAAATCTGTCACCACAAATGAAAACAGTTGTCTGGTTGTGAACTGGACATCATGACCTGAAGGCTTTAAAAGCTGCTTCCAAGATAAACCAAATGATAAATGTTCAGCTATGAAAGCTGCATTCTCAGGAGGATCAGTTCTTGGGTCAGGGTCACTCTGACCCTGCTTAAACCAGGATTATTTCAGCTTGTTAAACAATGATCCCAAAGGCTCACAACAAATACATGAATACATGCTGAATCGAACCATGTCAGGAAACACAACAACTTTATGTGTAACATCATAATCCGTACATAAATATGTAAGAACTGGTTAATAACAGCCTGTCTGTAACAAGTGTTCACATACTGGTTATAGATGATAGGCAGAGGGGATGAAGGTAAACTTTATATAGAAGGTGTAAGCTCACAGCTGGTTCATAAACCTTCAGTCACTTTATCCTTCATCAGTTAACAGAGTCCTGATTTAAATGAACAACCTCTCTGCTCTGTAAATAGCTGCTGAAACTGACCTCTTCTCCGTTTTCTGCTTTCACCACCTGCTGAGCCTTCATCACCTGAGTGGCTGCGATCGCCGACGCCAGAGCCTGAAAAAGGGAAATAATTATTGTACTGGAAATAAAGCCTTAACATACCATCACTAATGAGTGTACAACAACTCCACTTTATAACTTTATTCCCTGACTCTGATGTCCTCCAGCTGCTCAGCTTCAACTTCCTGATATAGCCTTAGCTTCTTGCTGTTAGCACTTAGCTACTAGCTGTTAGCTGGTTAGCAGTGCTGCTAGCTTATCTGTCCTATTAGGACTCTGGTCAGACTGTGAGCTCAGAGCACCGGGGCAGTGTCCGGAGCTTTGGACCGCCGGGAGCGCCGCTGCCTCGAGCTCCCAGTCTGTTAGCAGCAGTTAGCGGTTAGCCATCAGTAAACTCTGCACATCTGTAACAGGTGAAGCTGAAGACATCAGAGAACAGAGAATCTGTAACTTTATCAGGGCTCCTGTCAGTGGGGGGGTCCAAGGAAGGAACAGAACCAGAACAGGGTCATGGTGGGCCGAGCGCTCCATTGCATGCAGGTGCGAGTAAGGCGTGGCCCGTGTGGTCCGAGTTCCAACAGACGAGCTACTGCTACGCTCAAACTGAAAGCGTTAATGCTGTTTGCCTGCTTGAATAGGAAATCGGCTGGCGGTGGGGCTCAGAACGTTTTCAAGTTTT